GAGAAAAAGAACGAAAAACTTGATTTCAAGACATAAATCGTTACTAGGTATATGGAATCAATTTGTCGAAGACAACTGACCTGCTCCTCTTTTTTATTTTTTTATCTTTTCATCTTTCCTATAATGTAATAAATAACCTGCAGTTTTTTTAATCGTTCATATGTAAGAATCTTCATCTGATTGTGAATAGAAAGTATTTTTAATTAACAATTACATGTTCTCTCCTTTCCTCACTACTCCCGTTTTTCTTTCTCAATCTCTACTTTTTGTATCTCTCCCCTTTTTGTAAGCGCTTCAGAGCGTCACAAATAAACAACGCATAATCAAAAAAATTATATATATAATTCTCAAATGGGCAATTGCTTCATTTCTTGCATTAGGATTTGTCATGATATATGTATGTATATGAATATATTTATTTATGATTTTTTTTCTTTTTTTCAATAAAAAAAGACTAATCATTAGATGATGGTAAAAGTTATATTAACAATTGAATTTCTGATGTTCTTACAAATAAAGAGAACAGTCAACGGCTGAATGTATCTAATCATTGTATTTCATTGAATCAACACATTAGTCAATGATTTTTTTGTCTATGTTCAGCCTATTATTGAATGAAGATAGAAAAATAAAATAGGATAAGAATAACATTTCTTATATAAATAGAATTATTCTTAACGATAATATATTTTGTTATTATGAATATAATGTTAACGATTAATGAAACCATTCTCTTATTACCAAACCATTTATTATCAACAGAATATGAACAATTATCGTATGTTTCTAATAGAAAACTTTTGCGTATCATTCATTTTATGATTACATGTTTAATTGAATATTCAATTATGTATTTTCTTATTTTGTTATATCTCATAATGACAGTATTCTTTTCTCGTTATTGGAGCCGTATAATTGATATCATAGATAGTTATTGGTTGGACATATCTGATCTAGATAAATATTCAGCTATGATTATTGTATTGAAAGTAGAAATAAAATATTTCGACTTTCTTCATTGGTTAATCGAATCTTTATTGGTTCCGCAAGCCTTATTTTATTCTCATTTATATTGTTTACTATGTATAGACACCAATTTTTGCCGTGAATATCATGCTAAATATGTATCCATGGTCATCATTAAAATACCATTGTTCATCTTAATGCATTACGCTGAAAGTCAACCTGATTTTTTTACCAATGATACAAAACAGATCTCTTAAACCTATTATGCAACTGGCCTTCAAAATCGAATATTACATTATCTTTTGTTTCGAAGAATTAAAATAAATAAAACCGAATTTGTTAATAACTATTGTACGATTTAATAACTCAACAAAATTTTCGTTAAAAATTTATGTTTCTATAAAAGATAATATTTTATATTTGAGCAATTTAGTTAAAAATCTTTTCCATAGAAGATACCATCTATGAAAAACTCATGAATAGACAGTCATTTGGATAAAGCTTGAATGTAAAAGATGACTGACTGGCACACGTTTACGGAATGCTAGAACATCATGCCATAGAATATCTATTAATGATCTATCCCTATTACGATCCTCTAGAACAATGCTTTATTAAACTCGTATATAGCTATGACGTCAAAATAATATTCAATAGAATTTGAAAAAGATATTTTCACGAATTAAATCATATATTAGAGCACATTACTGATCAATAGCAAGCAGTAAAGTATAATTTTTTTTGGTTGACATTTATATGTAATCGTTCATGTAGACTGTTACTTATTTGTTTATATATACATCTCAAAATAATCATTGTTATTATTTTCACCTATTATTTGCAACAACATAGATTAACTGGAAGAAATTTACAATAATTTCATCGAAATAATGTGCAAAAATGTGATCTGTCATAAAGGATTAGTATTCTGATTTTCTAAAGAACAGAAATTTAAAAAAATATGATGGAGATTCACTTGAAAAAGACAGCAGGTGGATCAGTATTTAATCATTGTCGATATACATGACTGTGAGTGACAAATAGAAGATAAATACAAGTTTGGTCAAAAATAAAAATCTAAACAAGACATTCATTCAGTCACATCCATGTTGTCATCCACACCTTTTTCTTTTATTCGGTATCTTTGTATATATATAACATTTATTATTATATGACTAGTGTCAAAGATTATCAATCTTTATTACATAGATTTAAAAAATAATCTACTTTTTTTCTTTCTTTTAAAATCTATATTTAAATAAGTTTTCTTTTCATCTATTAATTAATAGAAAATAATATTCATAATAGAAGTATTAAGGAAAACGTTTACTAAAATATTATATGAATTAAATTTCTAGAAGAATATTATCAAAGACTTCGTTAGAAAAATAAAACTAATTGATTTGAATCAAGATGTTAATTCTAGGATTAACAATTTCCAAATAAAATCTTTCATTAATGACTATTAATCATATTAAACAGCTTGATTAACTAAAACATTTTCTTCTTTAACATTTTAATATCTGAAATCTACAGATTCCAATGAAATTTGTTTGGTTTGCAGCAAAATTAGAAATCTAATTAAGAAAAATCTTTCGCTTATATATATATTATTTGCCATCAGTTAAATATTTACTCATAGATATCTCGATAGATATCTATCGTTGATTTCATTGAACAATTATGGAGATTTGTTTATTTCTAAACTCATTTTTAACTTTTTCTTATTTCTCGAAATTTCTAATGTCGATAGATTTTTCATTAGTAAAAAATATGAAAAGAGTCGATTTAGTCAATCTATTATATAAATACACTAAAACCTCCCTAATGTGAACATCATCGAGACCGGAAAAAAGTGTTCATTATAGAGAGTCAATATATAATATAGCCTAAAATGGAAGAAATCTTCGAATATTTGCGTATGCTTTTATAGTAGATAAATACCCAATTATCTATTCTATTGTTCATTTATTATTAGCTAAACGATTTTAATAAAAAAAAATTTCAAACTATAATATAAAAACGAAACTTATTTTTTTCCACAAAAATCTTCAAATATTGTTTGTCTTATTGCTTTCGAATCAATATATACGCCTATTAATTTAATGCGATACTTTTCGAATGAAGTTCGTTAAGATAAACCATTATTATGATTAAAAGTTTATTCTATTTTCTTGTATAAAGTTAAACCACGTCGTAATGTTATGCGTTGTTCGAACGCACAACACTTGGATCATATACAAAATACGCCTACTTTTTAATGCAAACAAAATACGACAGAAAATAGAAAGAGGTTAAAAAAACATCATATATATATGTCAACATTGAAGACGTGACAATATCAGACTGGACCGAAAAAAAGCGTTTACTGTTCAGAAGAAAGAAATGTTCATATTGGAGGGATGCATTTCTTGCGAAAATCGCTCCGTCGAAACTTAGATCGCTCATAAAACGGAGATGTTCATTATCGAAAGGTGTTCACTGTAAATAAAATAAGAAATATTTCTTTCATTTCAACAATAGATTTAATTCTAATTTAACATATTTATCTCAAAAGAAAAACAAATATTCTTTCTATTCAATATAAACATATTAGATCAAACTATTTTTTCTTTTCGCTCTCGCACTCTCTTATATTATTTCTATTAGTTTTGATTTAATTGATAAAAAAGAAGTAATTAAATATATGTTAATTCATTTTTTATTTAATAATAATAATAAGACATTGACATATTTATATAAAGAATTTGAAATAGACAAAGAAACATTTTAAACACACAAATATCCGGAAATATACAATTGATGAAAGAAAAATGTGTGTGTATTACTTCGCCATATTGTGTAAGGAATAGATCACCATATCCGATGTTAAAACGATGTTTTTATCACAAAAAATTTCATTAGATTATTCCAAACACACAAACTAATAGAAAAAAAGAAATTATTTTAATTAATAAAGGAATTATTAAAAAAAAGAAATATTTACTTGTTTATTAAATTATTTAACGACCCCACCATCCACCAAAGCCACCATATGGCCAGCCCCAACCATAACCACCGTATCTAAAGATTGAAAAAAAATGTAAATTTGTTTTTAATTATTGAATTGAATGAAAATACATACAATCCATATCCTCCCCAACCCCACCAGGCTTCACTGACGGTAGCAAGAAGAGCGACGAGTAAGGCAAGAAGAAGTAATAATTGAGCAAACATTTTGTTTGAATCTATTTTGAAAATAAGATTAGATTAAAATAAATAATTCAAATAATTTACTTACTTAAAAATAGAAGATTTGAATAGACGAAGTAATGTGATGAATATACAAATTTCATTTGCCTTTTATAGGGTCAAAAGTGGTACCTCGATTTGTGAATAGATTTCATTTCATATTATTGTAATCAGCCGATATAGATATCTTTTCTTTCTTTTTAAACAAATCATCGATATCATCTAGATATCATTTCTTTCTTTAATTCTTTATTTCTTTATTTCTTTATTTCTTTATTTTAACAAATCAAATATGTAGTTTAAGTGCACTTTAAACGTTTGTTTAACCTAGACACAATTACGAACAATCTATTACATTTTATTCAAACTAAAACAATTCATTTTCTTACTTTCATATTTTTCACTTTTCATTTCAAAAAATTTCTTTCGAATTAATTAATTAATTAATCGAATAATTGTATTTGTCTATTGATGATCATATTATTTATAAATAAGAGAAATAAGATTATTTTGAAAATTTCTTCTTAAAAATAAAGTTCAATTATTAATTATTTATTCTTAGTTTTTTTTTAAGAAAAAATTGATTTCGAATAAAAAGTTTTCTTATTTTAAATAAAATCGTATTGAAGAAAATTTTTGATTTTATATTGTTAAATGATTAAGAATTACCGATTGTATATGAATAAGATAAAAGAAAAATATTAATGTAAAATCAAATAGTTATTAAATATCCATTGGGAGAAAATGTGTTGTGATTTTTGTTTTTTTCTTCATTTGATATTGATTTGTTAAAGACGAAAGTAATGAAATTTTTCTTTCTATTATTAATTCTTTTGATTTTAATTGAAATAAATCAAAGTCAAAATATTTCTTTAAAATTAATTTGTTCAAATGATAATAATTGTGGTTATCCAAATGGAGAATGTATATTAAATGAATGTATTTGTTTAAAAGGATGGATTATACAAGATCAATATGATGGATGTACATATCAACAAAAATCCAAATTAACTGCTTTTCTTCTTTCATTTTTTCTTGGAATATTTGGTGTTGATTGGTTTTATTTAAGTTGTGGAAATTTTGCTTATATTATTGCTGGAATTATTAAATTAATAACATTAGGAGCTTGTGGAATATGGTGGCTCGTTGATTGGATTAGATTATTAGCTAATGCTTTTCAAGATGGAAATGGTATGCCGCTATTAAACTGGAATAATTAATATATTATACTCTTTTCATTTATTTAATAAATTATCTATTGGAAAATAAAAATAATACACACATTTCTATTAGTCTTTTTCAATGAAATTTTTCTTAGAAACCTACAAAAAAGAAAAAATATTTTCAAAGAATTTTATTTTAGTTTTTGTTAAAGTAATTTAATTAAATCAGATTTCTCTATTCTTTTCTATTGTGTTTGATTCTATATCGATAGGATTAATCAAAACTCTATTAATTTTTATTACGTTAATTCATATAACATCAACAATCTAAAAACGATTGCTATTTATAATACAGTTTACAACAATAATATTCAAATAAAGTTAGATTTAATCGAACACTTTCTTTTTCTAGGTTTATCATTTTAAACTCGTTAGATCGAAATTTACTACAATAAAATTAATCTTAGAAATCAAATATCACTTTTAATTAAGAAAAAAAACATGAGTTTCATCTTCGACATAATCTATAAACAAGATTCATAGATGAAATAGAATTCATGTTTACTAAAAAATAACTTTAACTATTGAGTAAAATTTGTAAATATTATAGTAGAACAATTATTTTCTGGAATGGTAACAACAAAGGTTTATCTATAATCCTATGCTAATATAGAGAATGATCAAAGTTTCACAATTGGCTAATCAAATCATCTTGAAATTCGTATTGGACAAGAAAAAACAAACAGAACTGAAAGTTTGAGTCTATTAAATAATGAAGTTTTGAAAAAAACTTAAAAATATTCGAATTGTTTATTTGAAATATATTTTATCGAAATTTTTCTTATTTAAAAATAAATAAAATATTTGTTTTCAATTTAATCCGTTGGGGACTAGATGTATATCTTAGTGGTTTGATTTTGACTTAATCAGTATCTATTTGACCTAAATCTTACATAATAGTTTAACGATAGAAATGATAGTACAGTATAGACTAGATTAATCTATGTCAAAATATCGTTATGTAACTATTTCTATTGTGTCCTCATTCACCTTCTTTCGTTCTACAGATAAATTCTTTTATTTTATATAAACAAACCATTCATGACAGTATTCGATTCTAGTTGATTCGTCTAATCACTGAATTATATGGTAAACTAAAAGTAACACGTGCTCGATCTAGTTCGAAAGAAAATTCTATTGTTAATTTAAAAAATGAATGAATTTTATTAAATCAAAGTTGATAATATTAAAATGATTAAAGAATTTATTGCTGAAATATGAAAATATTCTTAATTCTATGAAACTAAAAAAACTAATTAATATCCATGAGGATTTCCCCCTTTTCTAATGTCACAATTAGCCCAATATTGTTTTTCTTGTTGACGCCATTCAATAGCTTGAACAATTGAACCTCCATAAGGTATACATTTCATTTTATGTCCACGACGTTTAAGTTCATTTAAAATATTCTATTAAAAAAAAGCAAAATAATATTTATTAAAATGAATAAAAAAATGAATTAACTTGATCAAAATTTCGTTCAAAACTAATTTGATTTGGAGATAAATGATGATGAATTCTTGAATGATCAATTGATTCTTTGATATTTTTATTAAATAATAAATTAAGTAAAGTAACATGAGCAATACTAGTTAAAATTTTCGATCCTCCACTAGCTCCAATAACTAATCGAATTTGTTTATTATTATCAATAATAATTAATGGAGATTGTGATGATATTGGTCTTTTTCCAGGTGAAATAAAATTATTTTTTGAAAATTTTAATCCATGATAATTTTCTTTTGTTGAAATTGAAAAATCATTCATTTCATTATTATAAATAATTCCTGTCTCTTCACCAACAATCATTGAACCAAAACTAATTGAAAGAAAAATAAAATAAAATCTATTTTTAAATAAGAATAATTAACTATGTATTTATTGTTGATGTTATAGCAACAGCATCTCCATATTGATCAACAATTGATATATGAGCTGTTCCATCATTTGTTTTTATTTCGTTATTGTTATCTTTATAATATTCTTCATCAAAAGTTTTTAAATCACTAAAATCAAATTTAAATTAAAAAAAAGTCAAATAAATTTATCAAACTTGATTTTTTGTCTAATTAGATTTGCATATTGTTGTGATGTTAAATTTGAAATAAACTAAAGAAAATAAATGTAGAAAATATTTTCAATGAAATCTCAAAGACAAACATTTTTCAGATGAATTTGTTGTGGATCACCTAAATTCGATTGTTTAGCAAAAGCAAATTTAAATGATTCAATTAATCGATGATAAAAAAGTGATGCGGTTTCATTATGATTAAGATCATTCGATTCAAATTTATATCCTTTAATTAAAAATAAATTAGGTTTTTCTTTTAGAAAAGAAATAATAAAAACCAAGAATAATTTGAAGAATCAATGCAAGAATAGGACCACTTGATGGAGATGAACTTGTAAAAGCTTTTAATGAATTATTTAAATTTATTGATAATGCTTCTCGAATATCTAAATCATATTGACGAAGATCATCTAATGTTAATATTCCACCTAAACATTTCATTTTCATTTTTATTTTAAAAACAAATTAGAAAACTATCGAACCTCTTTTTTGTATTTCTGATATAATTTTATGTGAAAGATTTCCTGAATAAAATGTTTTAATACCATATTGAGATATTTGACGTAAAGTTTTGCCTAATTTTATTCTTTTCATTAAATCTCCTTCACCATAAAGTTCATTTGTTAAATTATTTTTAAGAAATATTTCTCTAAAAATTAATTTTATTAAAATAAATCAAAAGAAAAAAGAAGAAGTTCTTACCTAAGTTGTGTATCATTAATAATATGTTTTTTATTTTGATTAATTGCAAAAGCAAGAGTACGACTAACATTAAAACCTTTTTCACATAAACGAATTGTTGGTTGAAAAAGTGTTGACCATGAAACTCCTCCACCAAATAATTCATATGCTTTTCGATATGCTAATAATTCTCCAGGTGTTCCAATTGATAATGCACCTTGAATAAAACAGAAAAAAAAAGATTTATTTTAATAAATCTATAAATATTTTTAAATAATCTTCATACCAATAAGTGACATATTTTCTCTTCCTTGAAACATTGTTTTATTTGAATTTAATGGAGCTTTTTCACGTTCAACAATACTAAATGCTTTTCCATGTTTTCTTTAAAGAAAAAAAGAAATAAAAATTCTAATAAGAAATCAAATATTAACTTTGAATAAATAATCAAAACACATCCTCCACCAATTCCCATTGAATGTGCATTTAAAATCCCATTACAAAGAGAAGATGCAATAGCTGCATCAACTGCTTTTCCACCTTTTAATAAAATTGATTTGCCTATTTTAGAACATTCTTCATTATCAACAGCTACTGCAGCTCGATCATATTTTCCTAATTTTGATGATCCATTAACTGAATACGATTCATGATCTAATTCACATTTATCATCTGATAGCAAATTTTCTATAAAAATAAAAAACGTTTTTTCTTTTTAAAAAAATATTTAGATAAAATAACTTTTATCTTTTTTTAAACCAAAAAACAATCCAGCAATAATACTTGATAGAAGAAAAAGTATTAAAATTAATAAAATTATAATAGATAATCGATGCCTTAAAAGAGAAAAAAAAATATTTGTTAAATCTATTAAATGATAATCTTACATTTAATTAATTAATTAATAATATCAAAGGAATTTCTTCTTGACAATAATAAGATAAGATATTGGAATAGATCCATATCGATATTGTTTATCCTCTCATTTAGAGAATTATCTCATTGGATTATTATTAATCAATATAATTTATCTTACAGCAATATTACATATATATGTATATCCATTCAATAGGATATTCTTCTGAAAAAGAAAATTGATGATAAATAAATATTTCTTAAGTGAGATTATTGACTAAATAACATCTATTTTCAATTTTTATTCATTAAAATATATTTGAATAAAATTACGAAGATTTCTTGAAACATTTTCACACAATTTACAAAAATATTTTCTTAAATAAAATATCGTTAGATCAATCATCATCATCATCATTCGGATTTGTTTAAACTAATTCAAATATATTTATTAAAAAATTATTTTCCTCACCTCATTTAATATTTATAATTCATGAAAACAAATAATTATAGCGAACATAAAAATAATCTAGTTGATTTTTAAAAAATAAAAAAGGGAAACAAAAAAATTGTGGAATATTATCTTTTAATAATACGATGAAAATAAATTTAATTCTTAAAATTAGACATTCATAAATATCGATAAGTATTTTCTATTATTAAACGAATTTCATAAAATAATTTCATATAAAACTAAGAATTCATATGATGGTTTAATATTTAACTTCGACTTTTTTTCGAAAATTTCTTAGTTTTTTCAAGCTAAATCTATTTTTCTTTGTCGAATATCTTATTGTTTCTTTCTTTGTTATATGCTGATTACAATTAATAAATATTCCTGAATATCAACAAACGCATCTACACCAATTTTATTTTTTTTTATTCTCTTTTATTTCACCAATTTGGTATTGGCTAATAGATATTTTAAATTTTAGTTCTATTTCGCTTCTATTTTCTTTGAAATCATCGAATTCATTGCTCAATTGGAATGGAACTTTGTTTTTATTTTACTTTTTCAAAGGAAAAATAAAGACGAAGTGCTACCCCTATTTTTCAACTTGATAGTCATCAATTTAATCGAAATATAGAAGAAAAACAAACACATTTTTATATAAATAGTTAGTTTTTTGTCTGAAAAAACTTAGGAGTCATCTTATTCAACTTTCACCTATCGTACTATTTATTAAACTCAATGTCCTGGCGGTGGAAGACTTTATAATAGTCATGCACATAACTAATGTCATACTATATATACATTGAATTGACAATTTCGTTGGCTTAAATAAACATTTTCTTGTCATGTCTAAGAAAGAATTTTATCGATTTACTTTATTTTTTTCAAGTAAAAAGGAAAATAATTGGAAAATGATGTGCTTCTATTGTTTCTACTTGAAATAATTTAATGCATTACTCTGTTTCGTTTCTCGAATACATATATAAACTCAACGATTTGAATAGTAATGCAATAAGTATTTCTCGAAATAAAATTTTCAGGTAAATATATCTGACATTTATTATTGTTAGAGAATGACAAAATCTATATAGTCTCATAGAAAAGTTACATTATGTAATAAAAATATACTTTGCTTTTCCATTTATACATTTAATATCAACTGTAAGTAATAAATACATTCTATTAGATATTTATTCGATTTCTTTGTAACGTTATATATTTATCATAGTGGTTTTTTTGATCAAATCAACTTTTCATAAGTCTATTCAGATTTATTTATTCTTTGATATGTTATCTTAGGTATTTATCATTATTTCTAGATTAGAGATCATGTTATACAATCTAGTAATACTCTTGAACTTTGCATTTGTGATCGTTTGTCCGATAATGGGTGCCATCAATCTTATTGATTTTCAGCAATAAGCTCTGGTGTAACACAATTACTATCGTCAATAACTCTATTGTACCAATTCAATAGTATTGAATGCATTTCTAACTACAATTGCACAGAACTATGCAAACTATTTAGCAGCCGACAATATCTTCAATCATAGTCAAACACCAGGACTAGACGAAAATCTGTGGATGGAAACTTCATTAGCAAGCGTAATCTTCGTCAATGGTATAGTGTACATGTTTTAGTAAACTCTAACAAAACAATATTTACATATCTTTTAGGTTCGACACCTACTGCTCACTGGTATAATGAGATCTCATTGTACAATTATAGTTCTCCGGGCTTCACTTCAGCAACTGGTCATTTTACACAAGTTGCTTGGTCTGATTCCACACAATTGGGAATCGGTATTGCACTAACTAGCAATAATCTAATAGCTTATACTGTTGCTAATTATTATCCTCCTGGAAATATTCTCAATCAGTTTGCTACCAAGGTACCACCATTATGTGCTTCAACTACGACTATTGGAATAACATCCAGTGCTTAGTACCACCCCAACATCAAATACTGGCTTTACAATCTCTTCTGGGCAATCATCAAATGCCAGCTTTACAATCGGTGGTGGACAAACATTAGGTTCAAGCTCTTCCACCAATACTGCATCAACACCAAGTACGAGATATACGACGAATACCACGATAACGATGAGTGGAGGAACGACAATGAATATGACACATTCAAACAATACGGCAGTATGTGTGTCTTATCGGTATTATCATTTATTGGTGACTATGGTGATTCTTGGCACAGTTCTGTGAACTTTTTAATTAAATTATGACATATATTTATTTTTCGACAAAGACATGAAATTCCAGTATGATTTTCTAACAATTTTCTCTAAGTCAATACGTATAATTGACAACTAATTCTTTTTAACAAGTTATTTTTTTTTGATTCGCATGGTGATGTGTGTTGGAAAGGTGAATGATTACTAGTATTTTTTAAATAAATATATTGTTCTATCCAGCAAAGCTCAGAAATCAAACGAAAATCAAATGAAGTGACATTGTATGTGAAAAGAGTGTTTATCAGCAAATTAGTAATTATTATGTGATACATATTTTAAATATTTGATGAAATTATTTATTCTGTTAAATTCAAAAAGGAATAAGACATTGTTTTACTTTTAAAGTTATTTTGTCTGACTGTATAAATAGTTTGACATATTTTAGAATTCAATGAAATAAATATTTGTTAAATCGTTTGATACAAAAAATGTTTTGTATTCAAGTATAAAATATCACTTTTAGTTGAATAAGTTTAACAATTATTTATTATTGATTTAATAGAGAAATTATGAAAAATGTTTATTTTGATAATGACCATCGTCTGAATCAAAATATTTGGCGATAAACTTGATGTAGTTAATCCAAGTCCATTACTGGTACAATGTAAAACCTGTTGAAAATAACGATCAGCTCGTACATAAAGCAGATTGAATTATTGAATATTATCACGATGAGTATTATCATCACCAAGATTTGATTTATCATTCATAACTATGTCCATCAACTTGAAACTAATATCTCCTTATGCAAAAATCAAATTACTGAACGAGATTTAATCCAGGTCGAACAATCCGGCACGGAAACTGCTAGTTCCGTGGTATTCCAGAGATTTTATGGAAGCAGGATTCCCGTTGAACGGATCCGGTGATCAGATTTACCTGGTTTAGGTCGGAACCGACAGGAACATGTCAAAACTGACAGCCGGATATGGTTACCTCAGGGATTTTGACGGAAATTCATGGAATCCTGCTTCAGGAACCATCATCCTGGGAAATAACGATCAGAAGAAGATTATGACGATAATGACAATGAAGTTCAACACAATGAAAAATACGGATCAATTGAAAATCCCTATATCAATTTTTTCTCTTTCCATGCAAGGCGTATCACTGCCGCTATCATTAGCATAATTCTTTGCTTGTCTCTCTAAGTACATGTTGCCATTATTCAGTAATCTCACCATCAATTCGTTTTACTAAAGTCAATTTGACATGATTGATAAGATAGATAGATAGATAGATAACAGAGAACGATTCACATTAACCAAGAGTTTATCCACTTTTGCAAAATGCACTCTGATGATCCTTCCTTCTCTCCTCTTCTCTCTTGCGTTTTTTCTTCATATAGTCACTTAACTATTTTCATGTCTTGTAATGGATAAAACATTAAAATTTCTTCCTTTTATTCTTTGGTTAATTCATAGTTTTTTATTAATATGTATTCATCTTGGTTTTCGTCTATTATATGAGATCAAAAATTTAAATTACCATCGGTAACAAATTAAATTTACTTCAACCAGCAACTGTAGTTGCTAAACGTATTCGTCAAAGACGAGTAAATCTTTTTTTGAAAAGAAAAAACGTTAAAATAAAAGTATTTTATATTTTATTTTTAGATAACTTCATATGAAGTTGTTCGTCTTTATATAGATCGAATTCGATCTATTCAATCATATTTAAATGTTTATATTGACGAAAGATTTGATCGAACATTAATTAAAGCACAAGAAATCGATCGTATTTCAGATAATGAAAAATACTTATCTGATCAATGGAGGGAAGAACGGCCGTCTTTTCTTGGTGTTCCATTTACTATTAAAGAATCAATGGAATTTCTTGGTTTTTGTAATTTAACTAAAAATGCTGCAAGAAAAAATGTTATATCAACTCAAACAGCAAAAGCTGTAGGAAATATGTTACAATCAGGTGCTATTCTTTTATGTAATACAAACGTTAGTGAAGGATGTATGTGGTTCGAATCGTAAGTTTATCAGAAAAAAAAATAGAAATAAATTTTATTATTTAAATTCTCTTTTTTAAAGACGTAATTCTCTTTATGATGCAACAAATAATCCATATGATTTAACACGTATTATTGGGGGAGTAGTTCAGGTGGTGCCGGTTGTATTGTTTTAGCAGCTGGTGTTCCATTCGTTGTTGGTTCAGATATTGGTGCAAGTATTCGATTACCATCATTTATGAATAGAATATTTTGACATATATGTTGCTGCTGTTTGTTGTTGTTCTATATAATCAGCTGTTAAGATTTTCCAAAATTTAATATGACCATCCTGTGAGCCTGTTATTAAAAAATCTGTTACTGTTACAATTATATGTGTAACAACATTACGATGTATATATGATCTTTCATAATAATCACTTGATGGTAAATATGATGTATATAAACTATCTAATTGTGCTGATCCTTCCAATTTGTCTTTTTTATTTAACTCAATATTTGAATTTGATGAAATTTTATTTATTTTATTATAGAAGAGAAAATGAATTAAACCACTTGTCTGATCCCTAAAGGTTTATTATTTTGATTTAGTTTTAAAATAAAAATGATTTGTTACGATAAGAAACGTTTCTATTGAAAAAAATGAAGAGAAAAAACAAGGAAAGATTGTCTTGTTTTAATAAAACTCTTTTTTAGAGATGAAAATAAAAGAAACTTCTAAAAAAGGCAAAGATCTTCGAAATAAATTAAACAGAAAGAAAAATATCTTTTTAAATTATGGAATTAATATTAAAATAATTTTTCTTTTCTAATCAAGTTCAATGAGCATTTTTTTCTTTTTAATTAATAAAAATAAGTTAAGATAGTGTCATCTCAAATCGTTCTACTCTATTTTATATTCTGATTTACAATGGATATTTGTCCATTTCCAATTCAACTTGATCTCATACACTAAACAAATAACACTAAAACTGATCTGGAGTGCGGTTAGAGTCTGGCTTGTAGATTAACGTTTAGTTCAACTCTTACTCATATTCTCAAAATCCATAATTTCTGAAGTGCCTCTAAATGGAAGATACGAATAAGGCGAGAGCGGAATATATCAATATCCGCATTCACACTCATCTTACCTACCACTGCTTCCATATATCCTTGTATAGCATACTACGAACACGATAGAATGGAAAATTTCTAAGATATAGAGTAAGTGGGGGTAAATGTATAACGAAAAAAAATGAGTTCACTTATTTTAGTTATAACTTTTTTATTTTTTATTTTTTCAAAAAAATTTCGTCACAAAGTATTTAGCCAAAGCTTTTCTCTATCGAATGGTCAAATCCATTTCTCAAAATCTTCTAAATACACGTATCCGCAGGCAGTTCTTGAGAGCCGGTTTTTTAATTATACATTTACCCCAGATGGGGGAAATAAAGAATCTAGCTTGTCCCAATGGGGTAAATGTATAATCCCAGCTATTTTAGCAGTAACTACTAAAATGAAACTTTTAACCATTTACTACAATATTTTTTGATGATTTTTTTACCAATAGATAGCGCGAAGATTTCTCTATCGACCTGAACTAATTCGTTAGTTATAAGTCAAGATCTTGATTGTTTTGTAAGGCCTGAGAAAAGACCTCCAAAACCAAATCTTAGAAAAATTTGTTCTATATGGGGTAAATGTATAATCTCTGTTGCGACAGGTGGGTAAATGTATAATTTCAGTCTTTTTAGCTGGATCATAAAACCAAATTCTCATACGATGTGAACCTAATTTCAAACTCATTGACGAGTGAAAAACCTTCAGTTTTTCAAGCTCTATCATCCTAGGGTATTTTTATCGCATTTGGAAAATATACAAAACAATTATTTCATTAAAACGCTTTCATAGTGTCAATAAAAA